TGAGGGGCTTGGGTGGTTCCTCTTGTGGTAGGTGTCCATGGCACTGTGGAGGGTGAGGGCACTGTGCCTGTGGCAGGGACCTGTGTCGATGATGGAGAAGAGCCTGTAGGCCTTGCAGTAGAGATGGTCTGTGGTTGTGTTGGGGTGATCACTCTGTGAGAAGTGGGAGTGACAGAGGAGGTGGCAGAGTTTGGAACGTGAGTGGATTGAGTGGTCTTGGATGGAGATGCGGTTGGGAAGGTGGTGGTGGTCCGGAATGATGTTCCTGTGGGCGGACCTGTAATGTGGGAGGTGGTGGACACGGAACCAGTGGGGGCGGAGTGAGAAGTGAAGGGAGTGTGTGGACCATTGGGTGTGGCCGTGGGGGTGTGTGTCCCCGGGCTCCCGGTGCCTCTACTGGTGGTCTTGGGGGAGATGGTGGTGGGTGGAGCAGATGTGGTCCCTGAGTGGGCAGGTGCGGAGGGGTGTGACACCAGGGAGGTGGAGGTTTTAGCTGTGCTGACAGAGTGAGGGGCTTGGGTGGTTCCTCTTGTGGTAGGTGTCCATGGCACTGTGGAGGGTGAGGGCACTGTGCCTGTGGCAGGGACCTGTGTCGATGATGGAGAAGAGCCTGTAGGCCTTGCAGTAGAGATGGTCTGTGGTTGTGTTGGGGTGATCACTCTGTGAGAAGTGGGAGTGACAGAGGAGGTGGCAGAGTTTGGAACGTGAGTGGATTGAGTGGTCTTGGATGGAGATGCGGTTGGGAAGGTGGTGGTGGTCCGGAATGATGTTCCTGTGGGCGGACCTGTAATGTGGGAGGTGGTGGACACGGAACCAGTGGGGGCGGAGTGAGAAGTGAAGGGAGTGTGTGGCCCGTTGGGAGTAGCCGAGGCCGTGGGGGTGTGTGTCCCCGGGCTCCCGGTGCCTCTACTGGTGGTCTTGGGGGAGATGGTGGTGGGTGGAGCAGATGTGGTCCCTGAGTGGGCAGGTGCGGAGGGGTGTGACACCAGGGAGGTGGAGGTTTTAGCTGTGCTGACAGAGTGAGGGGCTTGGGTGGTTCCTCTTGTGGTAGGTGTCCATGGCACTGTGGAGGGTGAGGGCACTGTGCCTGTGGCAGGGACCTGTGTCGATGATGGAGAAGAGCCTGTAGGCCTTGCAGTAGAGATGGTCTGTGGTTGTGTTGGGGTGATCACTCTGTGAGAAGTGGGAGTGACAGAGGAGGTGGCAGAGTTTGGAACGTGAGTGGATTGAGTGGTCTTGGATGGAGATGCGGTTGGGAAGGTGGTGGTGGTCCGGAATGATGTTCCTGTGGGCGGACCTGTAATGTGGGAGGTGGTGGACACGGAACCAGTGGGGGCGGAGTGCGAAGTGAAGGGAGTGTGTGGTGGGTTGGGTGTGGCCGTGGTTGACCTGGTCCCTGGGCTCGTGTGTTCTGTGCCCTGGCCTGTGGTGCTCCCTGGTGATCTTGTGGTTGTTCCTTCGGTTCGGTGGTGGGTTGAGTGCCCTGTGGAAAGTGTGATGTGTCAGTTTGTTATCATGTCATCCTTGCCCGGGTAGGTGGCCTCCCACTTGCTGATGGTGTTCCCCACGCCGGCTTCCTGTGCACTGGTGTCCCCCTTGCTGTTACTGACTCTGCTGATTTTGGTCCCTGTGTTTGTTTCTGTCCTGCAGGTGTTTATGGTCCCTCCTTCCCCGCGCAGAGGGTGCTGTGATGGGCTTCAGGTACTTTCGGGCTCCTTCCTGTGGGATCTTTCTGCAGTTTTGACTTGTGGCCCTGATTTCAAACCTGGTCACTCCTCTCTAGATCCAGTGCCTTTGGGACCCCTGTGCTCACCTGGTGTGGGGGCAGCCGTGGCGGGTGGGCCTGTAGGTGCTGTGCGGGGAGAGGTGCAGAGAGCACGTGGTTAGCTGTTGGCTCAGGCTGGTTGCTGGGCTGGCTGCCCCCCTTTTGAGTTGGAGGCGTCCCCTCCTGGGAGTCTGTGGCCTGTTCTCATACACAGTTCCACAGCCTGGGCTGGGCGTTGGAGCACCTGTGCTCTCCCCTCTGTGGGGACCTGCGTGGGGTAGCCTTACCTTGGGGGGACCCCGTGGTGGTTTCTGGTTTGGTTGGTGTTGGCCATGCCGCCGTGGTGCGCACTGTGGACCGAGCTGTGGATTGCGTGGCTGTGCTGAGCAGGGGTGCGGTGGGCTCTGTGGTGGCCTGAGTCACAGTAGGTCCCGTGGCTGTTGACCTGGGGGTGGCTGTGGGAGCTGGTCCTGACGTGGCTCGTGTGGTGATGGCGGAGGTCGTTCGAGGCGACTCTGCAGGGAACAGGACCATCTGCCCTCCCCTTTCCCTGCCCCACCTGTGCCACAGGAGCCTGGCCCGTGGGCACGCTGAGCCCTTCGAGAAGGGCGTGTGCCTTCCCCTCGCCGACACGCACATCCTTCCTCAGCTGCTTGTCCGGTGGCCATGGGCTCACTGGGCGCTGGCTGGCCCTTCACCTGCCCTTGCTAGCAGGACCCATGCCATGTCCCCCCTGGTCCCTGGGCAGCAGCAGGGGCTGCTGTGTGGGCTCCCTGCGCCTGCAGGTCCCACATGCTTCAGTGACAGTGCCAGGCAGCCAGGAACTGCCACGTCCCACGGCAGCTGGTCCTTCAACCCCACCCGCTGTGCTGAGCATCTGCCCGCACCCCAGGGAGCATGTCTGATCGTCACGTGTTCCGCCACCGCAGGGCGTCCTCACCTCCCGAGGAGACTGTGGGTTCTGGCCGCGGGGTCGGGGCTGTCCCCGTCTGTGTGGAGGCGGGGGCCGAGGCCGTGGGGGTTGCAGGTGTGGCGTGGGGGCTTGGTGAGGGTGCCGTGGAGCTGAGGGGCCCAGTGGTTCTGGGGGTGGCTGTGATGTTGGGGGTGGCCGAGGTGGGCCTGGCTTCTGTGGAGGGCGAGCCTGAGTGAGGCAGAAGGGCTGTGAGTGTGGGCACAACCTTGGGAGGAGTCCCCTCTCTTGCCTCTGAGCCGTGTAGTCCCCCACCCCTAGGTGGGCTGGACAGGAGGCACAGGGTGCAGAGGCCTGTGCCCCGCTGAGGGCAGCATCCCAGTCCCTTTGGCCTTGCTGTGACAGTGGCCGTCCAGCACGGCGGGGTTGGTCAGCCAGGATAAGCTTTCCATGCCCCTCCCCTCTGCTGTCCTGGTCAGCGCCGCTTGCCCCCGCCTTGTGGGGCAGCCCAGGACAACCCAGGTGCACCCCAGCCTTGCCCACATGCCAGCCAGCAGCTGCTGGGATGGGCACAGGCTGGGTTGACGGCTACCCAGGGATGAGCCCGGGGAGAGCGCTGCTTCACCTTGGCACCTAGTGTGTGCGCAATCACCTGTGGTGGGCGGCGGTGGCGTGGTGGGCAGCAGCACTGCAAGAGGAAGTGTGGTCAGTGCTGTCACCACGTGCCGCCCCTCCCGGTCCCGCCCTCCAGGGGTGTCCCCAGGTGGGTCCCTGCTTCTCAGTCCTCTTCCCCCCTCTCCCCCGGGTCTCCTCTTCTCCCAGCACCACTGCCCAACCCTGATGATGCCTGGCAGCCGGGATGCTGTCCAGCGCCCACCTGTGGTAGCTCCAGGCCAGCTGTCACCCACATACCCAGCAAGCTGGCGGAGCCCGGGCCTGGGTTGCCCTGCAGCTGGGGGCTGGGTGTGGGTGCGTCAGCATTTGGGGAGGGGAAGCCTGATTGTTTTCCCTTTGTGTTTGCTGTCTGGGGCACGGGGGTCCCAGCACCTCAGGGGCACAGCTGGGGAGTAGGGTGCTGGAGAGCTGGCCAGAGGTTTGTGCAGGGGCTCCGCGGTGGGGGCTGGGTGGGCATGGGGGCTGTGGCCTGAGCTTACTGCACGGCACGCACGTCCCCTTGTCCTGGTCGAAGTACTCATCCTGGGAGCAGTTGTAGCAGCCTAGGGGGCAGGGCCGAGATAGGCCAGGCCTCAGTGCCCGGAGCCGGAGCCCCTCTTCAGAGGCTTGGTTCCTGCCCTCTCTGTCCCCAGCCACTCCTGGCCTCTCACTGAACTGCAGAGGCGGGTACCCCCTTGTCCCCAACCCCAGCCACCCTGCACTGTGCCTGTCACCGTCCCCTGGCTCCAGGCTGGGCCCTCGTCCACCATCCTGTCCTGATCACTGGCCGGGAGGCCATCAGTTGTCTGACCCAGCCTCGCCCTCTCCTCGCCCGCACCTTCGATGTTGGTGTCTGGAAGGCTCTGCAGCTGCTGGGGGCAGAGGCACGGCTGGTAGTGCCACGTGCAGTTGGTCTCCGGGGTGTGCTGGTACTGGCCGCCGCCCACCCGCGTGTGGGAGTTGTAGAAATCGCAGTAGATGGCTGGGAGGACGGGTGCCTGTCAGGGCCTGGGAGGCTCCGGGTCCCTCTGCAGGTCCCTCTGCAGGGCACAGCCTGCTGCCCACCCGGGAGAGGTGCTGCCGCCATGGCCGCCCCCAGTGGGGGACAGGATACTCACGGCAGAAGTCGGGGGCCCTCCAGTCCACGCACACGCCCTTGTCCAGGCAGGCCTTGGCGTAGGCGGCCACAGCGTCGCACAGGCATTCACAGTCCCCACCCGTGTCGCACCCACATGTGTCGCGCACGCAGGCCTCGTAGTAGGGCAGGCGGTACACCTGCGGGAGTGGCCCTCAGTGTCTGCTGTCCACCCGCCTGCTCAGGCCCGACCCCCGCGGCGCAGCCCACCTGGCTGTGGCAGGCGGCGAAGGGCTGGCTATTGATGATGCTGCACTTGCGCTCGGCCCAGGCGCGGCGGAAGGCGTTGAGGCTGCAGGGGTCCAGCGCGAGTCTGGCGTCTCCGCACAGCGGGCTCTCCTTCCACGAATTCACAAACTCCAGCTCGCCGGATGCTACGTACTTGCTGCGTGTCTCAAAGTCGTCCTTCATGTTCCCGTTGTAGTTGCCGCACAAGCCGCACAGGGCGTCCTGCGGGGGCTGGTGTCAGGCGGGCAGATGTGCGGGTGGCGGGCGCTGCCCCACCCCGGTGACCTGGGCGGTGGCGCGTGGTACCTGTGAGGCTCGCGAGATCTTGATGGAGACGGTCATGTGTTTGTTCCAGATGAGGGTCAGGTTGTAGCTGCTGCCGATGGTGACGTCCAACACCAGGTGCAGGGAGCCAGCCCTGACCCGGAAGTGCACCTGGGGGTCTGTCCCGCTGACCGTGTAGTTCCTGTCCGCCAGCACGATGGACAAGCCCTGTGGGGCAGGGCTGTCACCAGGCTGCCAGCCCCACCTGGGTGGCTGCTGAGTGCCCCCAGCTCTGCTCCCGCCCGTGCTCTCCCGCAGGGGCCCGTTAAGGACACGCGCCGGCCAGCGCCTGCTGAGGGCCAGCTCTGGGCTGGGGCCTGTCCTCTCGAGCCTGCCATTGGCGGGAGGTTCCAGAACGTCATGGACACTGAGCTGAGGACTGAGTCGGGCTTCTGGGAGACTCCCCGCCCCACGTCCAGCTCTAGGAGACACTGCTGCCCGTTGTGTGGACGAGGAAGCAGAGGGGAAGCCAGTGCTGGCGGCACAGAGAGGCCAGGACCTGGAGCTTGGTGGCTGCCTTGTGGGGACACCCACCAGCCCACTCACCCCCAGGAACATCCTGATGGCCCGGGAGCAGGTGACACCCGATTTCCCACACACGACGTTCTCCGTGAGGATCTTGAAGGTGGGCTGGGAGTCATTGGTGCCGCAGCCATCCTGTGGGGAGGGGGCGCTGAGGAGGAGCCCACCAGGAGCCCCCGAGTCCTCCCAGGGCCTCCTCGTGGCCCCCCGTGGCCCTTCCCCCAGGGTCTCACCGTGGCCAGGATGTACTCGCAGCTGCCCTCGAACACGAAGCGCTGCCCGTCGAAGGTGACCACGTGGCCCTCCCCATAGAGGGTGCAGGTGGACGAGCAGTGGGCGCTCTGCTGGCACGTCCACTTCCCCCTCGAGCAGGTGCTGCCGGGAGCAGGGAGCTCTGGTTCTGAGAGACCTGGGCCGCACCCACCCTGTAGGATCTGACCTCCCAGCCCCCAGGACCCTGCGGACAGCCCTGTGCCAGGGTGGGACTGGCTTACCAGGCCTTACAGTCAGTGTGGAGCTCGGCGCCCCGGGGGTAGGAGACCCCCGCATACTCGCACGGGCACTCCTCGGGGGGCACGCACTGCCCGCTGGCGTTCTCGTAGAGCCCCTCGGCACAGACGCAGCCGGGCTCGCACTTGGTGGGCACCTGCAGGGCGGAGGTCAGCAGCCCCTGGGAGGGTGGCCCCGGTGGGCCCTCTGCCCCTGCATTCCTCCCAGACCCCCTCCTGCACCAGCCTGCTCAGGGCCTTTCTCTCGACAGCCTCCCTCCCTCAGGAAAGGGGCTGGCGCCTCCGTGCCTCAAGCTGGGCTATTGTACCTCCTCCTACTCCTCCCCAAGTTGGGGCCCCAGCCCACCTTCCTCAGGGAACCCCCCACACCTAGCACACCGCCCTCCAGCTGCTGGGCCTCCTAGCCCCACTGGCCACGCCTCTCCTGGAGGACAGGGTGGGGGCAGAGCCTCTCCTGAGGAGTCTGGGCTTCCTCCCGCGGCCCAGACAGGATGGGGGAGCCCTGCCCTCGCCCGCCCCAGCCTTACGCAGGGGGTGCCCGTGGCCAGCATCTGGCACGTGGGGGCACAGGCCGCCCCAAACTTGTTCCTTGAGGACTGGCTGCAGGACTGGAATGTCTTGGGGGCCGAGCAGGATGCTGCAGGGAAGGGGGCTGGTGAGGCGGGCTCAGCGGAGGCCAGGGCCCCTCGCAGTCCAGGGCACCGCTCCGCTGCACTACGTACCCAGGAGCATCGACGGCCGCCCAGGGCAGCTCAGCCGCCCGTTGGAACAGTAGCT